TTTATGTGCACATTTGTCTGTGTGAAGGTGTCAAACCTTGGAGTTACAGACAGTAGTGAGCTGTCATGTGAGTGCTGAAAATTGAACCTGAGTCCTCTGGAAGAGCAGCCAGTGCTCTTACTGGCTGAGCCATCTCTCCAGCCCCATAGTTCGAATCCTAATTAGTCTTAATAAGATAAAACAAAACAAAAAACCAGTCAGGTATTGGGGTAAATGCTGAAAGATCAGAGAAGCAGAGCAGCCAGCCACTAGTTTTTTTTTTGTTTTGTTTTTGTTTTTTTGTATAGTATTCTGCCTACAGATGTGACTGCATGCCAGGAGAGGGCACCAGATCTCATTGCAGAGGGTTACCAGCCATGATGTGGTTGCTGGGAGTTGAACTCATGACCTCTGGAAGAACAGCCAGTGCTCTTAACCTCTGAGCCATCTCTCCAGCTTTCCAACCACTAGTTCTTACTTTTACTGAATTCTCAGACCAAAGGGAAATCCTGTCCCTATGAATTCTCAGACTGAATGCAATGAGCTCCTGTCTCCTCCCATCTTATATTCCTCTCTCTGCTTAGCCATATCACTCCTATCTCCACCTCCCTAGTGCTGGGATTAAAGGTGTGAGACTCCCAAGTACTAGGATTAAAGGTGTGAGCCATCACCTCCTGGCTCTGTTTCTCTTTTAGACTGGGTCAATCTCATGTAGCCCAGAATGGCCTTGAACTCACAGAGATCCACCTGCCTTTGCCTCCTGAGTCCTGGGACTAAAGGTGTGTGCCACCACTGCCTGGCCTTTATGGCTAACTAGCGTGGCTAGCTCTGCATTCTGATCTTCAGGCAAGCTTTATTTGTTAGATCTTAAAATATCACCACAGTTACTGACTCAAATTAACCTCAAAGACAATGTTAGCTATTTTAAGCTACCAAGCTTTGTGGTAATTTATTATGCAATGCTAGAAAATCAATATTAGCATTAACACATTAAGTTGTGTTTCCAAGGTCACATGACTCATATGCTATGTTAGATTTCTCAGGCAGCATAAAGAGACAGAAGGTAGAAAGAAACCAGAGTCTGACCTCAACAGATGGGATTGTGTTTATTAATGCACATAACAAGGGGCAGCCATTCCCCAATGAAAAATTGAGGAGGCTGCCAGAGAAAAAGCTGCCAGGGACCCTTTATAAGAGCAGGTGAGGGGCTTGGGAATGAGGGGGTTGTTGCAGCTCCAGGGAGCTGCTATATGTCTCTCCTACCCCCCAAATTGCTTGCCCAAGGTGAGACAGACTATCCTTTCTGAGCTGACTATAATCTTAAGAACCCTGTTCCATAGCCAATGCACTCAAGCAGGTTGTAAACTTGAAATGCGAATCCAGGCCTTCAAATTCCTGAGTTTGTACGTTTCAACTTCATGTAATTTTACCTGGAAATATACTCTGCTCCCTCAGAGGAAGAAGTCACAAATGCATTATGCATTTATTTGCATCCACCCAATGCATGTGTAACGTCTTACATGCACATATTAGAACTTAAACACTGACTGGGAACCTGTGCAAGCAATGACACTTCAGAAAAGACCCAGTTGGAAGAGGCTATGTTGTAGCAGTGTCAGATGGCAGGAATAATCCAGATGGTATGGAGAGGTCTTGAGCTATGGCATCGGACAGAAAGAGTTACACAAACTCAAGAAGTGTTTAGAAGGAGGATTTAAAGGATTTTGTGGCCACATACGTATTTGTGGTGTTGGCTATGAAAGTGAAAGAGGGGTCATTGCCAGGACTGTAACCATCATGGTGGTGGGGTGGAAGGCTGTGTTGTCAGCTGTGGGGAGAGAGGGAGGGTCATAAAAATTCCCTTTGAAGTGGTGCAGCTGAGGTACCTTTAGACAGTTAGGACATATCTAGACATGGAATCCCAGCTACACCGGGCAGCTTGCAGAGGTGGAGATGAGATGGGATTTGAGAGACATCTATCAGTCTCTAATGGGTAGTGATGTCATGCTATTGGCTCTTCTAGGAGAGATGTGTGCCAGGAGAGACGGAGATGTCTCTCAAAGGAAGCCCTGGTAATCCTAACCTTGAGGTCTGGTGAGCAGAGAGAAGTCAGAGAAAGGAGGGCCAGGTAAAACGGCATTAGAAGAGCTGAGATTCTCAAGGGAATGTTACTGGAGACTCAGAAGTGGTCTCAGCAGCTGAATAATACCATGAAATCTGCCTGTTGTGTTCTAGACCTGTCACTTGAAAGACACCCAGTGCCACACTGAACCTCATAGAAGAGAAAGTGGGAAATACTCTTGAACACATAGGCACAGGAGATCACTTCCTAAATAGAACACCAGGAGCACAGACACTGAGAGCAACAATGAATAAATGGGACCTCCTGAAAGTGAGAAGCTTCTGTAAAGCAAAGAACACAGTCAACAAGACAAAAAAGATCTTCACCAACTCCACATCTGACAGAGGGCTGATCTCCAAAATATACAAAGAACTCAAGAACTAGACATCAAACTACCAAATAATCCAATTAAAAAATGGGGTACAGATCTAAACAGAATTCTCAACAGAACAATCTCAAATGGCAGAAAGACACTTAAGGAAATGCTCGGCATCCTTAGTCATCAGGGAAATGCAAATCCAAACCACTCTGATATTCCATCTTACACTGATCAGAATGGCTAAGATCAACAACACCAATGACATCAAGGAGAACACTCCTCCATTGCTGGTGAGTGCAAACTTGTACAGCTGCTGTGGAAATCAGTATGGTGATTTCTCAGAAAAGTAGGGATCAACCTACCTCAAGAATCTACAATACCACTTTTGGGCATATACCCAAAGAAGGCACATTCACACCAAAAGGACATTTGCTCGACTATGTTCATAACAACATTATTTGTAACAGACAGATCTTGGAAACAACCTAGATGCCTCTCAACTGAAGAATGGATACAGAAAATGTGGTACATTTACACAATGGAGTACTACTCAGCAGTAAGAGACAATGACATCCTAAAATTCACAGGAAAATGGACAGAACCAGAAAAAAATCACCCTGAGTGAGGTAACCCAAAACCAGAAAGACAAATACAGTATGTACTCACTCATAAGTGGATACCCGACATAAAGCAAAAAGATACCCATGCTACAATCAATAACCCCAGAAAAGCTAGAACCCTCTTCCAGAAACAGATGGAAGCAGATGCAGAAATCCACAACTAACCAATGGGCCAAGCTCCTGGAGGACAATCAAAGTGAGGGAGGAGTGAAAATATGAACAAAGGAGTCAAGAGCATGATGGGGAAACCCACAGAATCAGCTGACCTGAGTTAATGAGAGATCACTAACTCGGGTCTGACAAATGGGGAACCTGTGTAACACCAAACTAGACTCCCTTAATATAGGTGACAATGGTGTTGCTGAGACAATAAATGAGGCCATTGTCAGGGTCTAAGATCTAACACTAAGGCACAGACTGACTTATTGGAGCCCATTCTATATGGAGGGATGCCTTGCTCAGCCTAGACACAGGGGTGTGGGGGGTGGAGAGATGCCTTGGTCCTGCCTCAACTAGATGATAGGACAGACTTGGTAGAATTCCTAGAGAAGGCCTTACCCTCTCCAAGGAGCAGAAGGTGGATGTTGGGGGGGGGGAGTGGGAGAAGTGGGAGGTGAGGAGGGAGGGGGAACTGGGATTGGATTGTAAAAATTAAATTAATAAAAAAAAGGAAAAAAGAAAGACACTCACTGGAAACCCTTTCCTACTGTCCCCCAAGGCAGCCAGCACCAAAGCCCTGTCTCAGCAGAGCTACTTTTTAAAATCTAACACACACTTAACATTTACCAACTGGTTGACAAGATGGCTCAGTAGAAGGGTGCTTGCCACCAAGCCTGAGGATCCGATTTCGATCCCTGGAACTCACCTGGTGCAAAGAGAGAACCAACTCTTGAAAGTTGTCCTCTGACCTCTTCACTTGTGCACCCCCCCTAAACTTCAAGTTTAGCAATGACCAGGCACATAATAAATGACTGTTGAATGAGCAAATACTTCCGAATAAGTCATGGGGTAGCTCAGGCTGTTGCTTTGCTTATGCATTGCATACACAAGTCATGAGACTGCTCAGTGAGTGAGTTCCCTTGACTCATTACATTGCCTCAGATTTTAAAGGAAATCTGACGTCTCCAATGGTGCAACAAATTTTTGCCTCTCCTATGGAAGAGCTCTTAATATCAACTAAGTACAATTCAAAGGCTTATGATTCTAGAATGTTTCCTATCGTTCTAAGATTGAATTTAAAAATGAAATTTGAAGTGGTTGAGTTCTTCTGGGCTTCAGCAGCCTCCTTCAGGGGCACACACTTCTTCAAGCTCCAGCTGGTCCATCAGCAGTTTCCTGTCCATCTGGGAGTCATTATTTTCAAAACTTTTATTTAGATAAAACAAAATCATGTCAGCACTTACCTTTCTTGCTAATTAGCCGTGGAGATTAGAATCCCTTCTTAAATTGTGCTCAGGTTGTCGATGAAGAAAGCCTTGGAAACCATAAAATAATAGGTCACCAATAAAGTTTCAAAGGTCTGAAAACTTTAACTCAGGAAAAAAATATTAACAAAATTGAATTAATGTGGCCATCCTCTTCAAGGCAAAAAGTTTCCCACATATTTAAATAATTAAGGCAATTAATTAGACAACTGTGGACCAGGCTTTGTTCCGTGGTCCTTTCTAGTAGGAGGGCTCTGCTGTAAACTGGATTTATTAGCCAACGATGGCCATTTGAGAAGGGCATAAAGCAAAGTTGCCTGCTGAGGGGTTCCTTTAGGCCCTTGTTTTCAATTTTCAGAAAGTTGGTTTTCTTTTTAATTGAGAAATAATTAATTGATTACATCTGGAAGAACCCTGCTCCCTACTCTTCAGGAAAATGTTATCCTTAAATCCACCTCCTCCTGTCTCCCAGGCCAGCTCTTCCCCGTTCTTCTCACCTGCCCTGCTCCACTGCATTCAGCCCCTTGGAGAGGAGGTGTCCATTCTGGCATTTTAGGTGGCCATTTCCACCTAAATGTGACCTCTGTGGTCATTTCCTGGGTGCCTCACACAGGCTTTGTCTCTGGAGTTCTGTTATGTTTATCTAATTATTCTTTTTTTTTTTTTGAAAGGCTCTGTTTGTTTATTACTGGACAAACTATTCCCAACTTAAATACGACCAAGTCTCCAGGTTAAAAATGTTGAACTCCATCTGGCAGCATACATTGCATTGACCATTGACCATGATTCAGTACAAACTCTCAAGTCTTGCCATTGATTGTGTGAATCCTTACAGGCCCAGCTTGGTTCTCCTCCAGTGTCTTCCCTTGGAGTTGTTCATCTGAATCCACTGAGGAATAGGACAATTTTGCTTTTGTTTCTTGGCCAGGAATCGCTTCATTCTGAAAGTCTTGTGAGAAGACATGGTGAGAAGCCAACTCAGGCAAATGAGGCGGAGGAAAGGCGAAGAGTAATTATTCTTTATCAATAAAAAATAAATAGGAGTCAGATATCTCCCTAAGAACCTGCATGATCAGAGAAGCAGCAGAGCAGCCACCCGTGACCTCCTGTCTCTTTCATTCCTCCATCCAAAAGGGCCGAGACCCTCTCTAAGCCCCGCAGTATTTTCTATCTCTCTATCTGTCCTCTGTCCTCCAAGCCTCTATGGTTAGTTTGAGTCTGCTAGTAGCTAACTCCACCCTCTGATTCAAAGCAAACTTTATTGTCAGTCTCGGGAGTATCAGAATGCAATCGAAATATCACACAACAGATGCCTTCACTACCGTCCTGTTTCCAGGCTCCCTGATGGTTAATTTTCTCCATCCATTCGGCCCTGAAAAGGTACTCAACTGTTTGGTTAAACACTAGTCATTGGTTATGGTGTTGCTTTGAAGGTTTTTTGTTTGTTTGTTTGTTTGTTTGTTTTTGTTTTGTTTTGTTTTTCTCTGTGTAGCTTTGGAGCCTATCCTGGCACTCACTCTGGAGACCAGGCTGGCCTCCAACTCACAGAGATCCACCTGCCTCTGCCTCCCGAGTGCTGGGATTAAAAGGCGTGAGCCACCAACGCCCAGCTGCTTTGAAGGTATTTTTAATTGTAGCATGGAAATAATCTGGTAGTTCACAGACAGAGTTTAACATTGAAAAACAGTATCTATTCCAGAGTCCAGGGATCCAATGGAATCTATTAGTGTGATATTTCCTTTTAAAGTGTTTTTGGTTTGTTGGTTTGTTGGTTTGTTTGGCTGGTTTTGGTTTTTTGAGACAGGGTTTCTTTGAGTAGCTTTGGAGCCTGTCCTGGAACTTGCTCTGTAGACCAGGCTTGCCTTGAACTCAGAACTCACAGAGATCCACCTGCCTCTGCTTCCCAAGTGCTGGAATTAAAGGCTTGCACCACCACCGCCTGGCTTATTTTTCTTTAATAAAGGGTTATGTCTCCCTGCCTTCCTAATCTGGAAATGTCATTTGTGATACGTACTGTGAGTTTGATGTAAATGCTTAGGTTAAGGTTTGTTTGCAGAAAACAGATTTGTAGCTAAACCTGTATGAGCTGTGGTTTTCCTGCTAGGCCCCCTTTAGGTCCATTCACAGTCCTGAGCATGATGCATGCTCTTAGGAGGCTTCGCTTAGCCAGCTGTCACACCTCTCCTTGTCCTCATACACTCCTGACCTAAGTGGTCCTCTTTCCCTATGCAGTCAGCAGACACCTCAGACTCTTGTCTGAATAAGCTGTGACAAACAGCTTAATCCAAGTTAGAGATGGCCTTGGAAATTAGAGCCAGATCTGGTTTTCTCCTAATTAATTCATAACATAAAATCCAAGAGCATGAGCTAAAAACTCGTTAAGGAGAAAACGCTGAAGTCACTGGGCACAGGCTTTCCCTACATATGCTGTCTTTGGATTTACTTAATATATTTTGTAGAAAACAGTAATAATGCAATTAGGGTTGATTTCTCCCATATTAAGCTCTAGCTTTGCTTTTCTAGAAAGAGGAGCGTTTGATTAAACTGCTCTTCATGTGAAGATCACACTGGATGGGGAAGTCCCATTAAGTGAACAAAGATGAATACACTGAGCAGTCAGCTGGGACCAGAGACTCACATGATGTCACACACATAACCGAGGAGAACATGTCTTATCTGAAATCCTTTGTTATGCCTGTAAGGCGGTCTGCTTAAAATGACTTATCACAGAATATTCTGGGGTGGGGGTGTCCAGCAATGGAAGTCACACAGGGAGTGGTATGTGGAATATGGTCATTTTTGGCTGACTCATATGGCACGGGTTTCCTGCAGATGAGATTGGAGAAGGTCCACACCATGGAGGAAATTAATGGGATTTCTGAACCAAGCTTTGCATGTGTGACTATATGTTGTGTATGAGGGTGTGTGTGAGTATGTATGTGTCAGTATATGTGAGTGTGTGTTGTGTATGAGTGAGTGTGAGTGTGTATCAGTATCCATGAGTGTGTGTGTAGAGTATGTGGTATGTTCGTGAGTGTGTGATTGTGTGTGAATATGTGTGTGTGTGTGTGTGTGTGTGTGTGTGTGTGTGGTATGTATACATGTGTGATCGTGAGAGTGTGTGTGCAGATATGTGAGTGTGTGTTGTGTGTTTGTGTGAGAGTGTGGTATGTGTCAGTGAGTGTGGTATATATGTGTGGTATTTGTGTGTGTGAGGGGGAGATTATGAGTATGAGTGTATGTGTGTGTTTGACTGTGAGGGTATATGTAAAAGAGAGAGAATATGTATGTATTTGGGGGGATCAACCCAAGGCTTTGCTTAGTCTAGACAAATGCTCCCTCACTGAGTTATACCCGAAGCCTGAGTTACTGAAATGCATTTTTTTGGGGAACAATGAAAAGAACTTAGTTTTTTAAAAAAGAAAAGGAGTGAGTTTAAGTTAAAACCTGATTGGGAAAGGCATACACGTATGGTGTTTACTAATTAGAAATCTCTAGAAGTCAATACTCCCTTTGTGGGAAAAAGACTTGTTTATTAGATTAGGTGTTACTTAGAAAACTTGATCACATAAAATAATTGCATTTTAGAAGCTGGATGTAGTGGCACATGGGAAAGAAAGAGGCAAAAGGATGAGGAGTTCAAGGCTAGCCTCAGCTGCATACGACCCTGTCTCAGAAAACAAAACAAATGAGGAAATGGCCACTTGAAAAACAAAAGACCATTATTAACTTTAGAAACAAACTAATAGGGGCCTAATAAAAGCCAGGAAGTTACTAATAAAGTTTATGAAGACAAATGGCACAGTTGCCCCATCCAGTCAGCACTGTCTTGTTCTGGAAACCCAAACATCTTTGAGCCCAAGGGAGGCCAGCTGACTAGGTGTGACACATTTCTGATGAAACAAAGGTCCCCAGGCACATCTCCAGACATTTACAGGTCAGATGTGATTCTCCTGTCTGGCAGCTCATTTCCCTTAGTGAGAGCCACTCATACTTCCTTGGATGCCCCCCCCCCCCCCTTTTCTCATGGCCTGAAGGGAATAAACCATTTCCCTTTTGAAAGAGGCTGTAGAGAGTAGTGAGTGGCTAGGGAGAGGTCCTGACTTTTTCCTTCCTTCTTCTGCAAGTGGTTTTCTCCTCCTTAATTTACCTGGAAGCCAGAAAGACCGTCCCTCACTTCCTTCCACAGAGGCAGCCTCTGCAATGAGTCACGCAGACACATGCTCCAGCCTCCTGGGTGTTTTCTCTGCTCAGCACAGGCGGGTTGCTTAGCACCAGCATCTACAGCATCAGCAGACTCCTCCAGTTTCCCAGAGCAGGTCTAGACTACGCCCTGGTGCGATGCCCCCACTCCCCCCCAAAACCAAGGCACAGTGTCCTGCCGAGTGGGAGGGAATGAGAATAACTCTGTCTGATGAGTTTATTTCACAAGAGTAGCAGGGCTGTGAGTGTGTGTGGTACTGCTTAAGACTGCATTACCAAACCATCACCACTACTCCATCTGTTTCTTTCCTAAGACTTTTCAAGTTAGCTCTCACACGAAAGTCTTCAATCCGTGCTGAATTAATATCTTATATGTGGTATAAGGCCAGAGTCCAGTTTCATTCTACTGCATGTGGTTATCCAGTTAGAATTTACACCTCGCCTTCTAGATTGCCGTTCACGTTTCCATAGATTTTTAAAATCTATGCATCCATCACTATTTTTTTTTCTCAAGGGACAACATCTAGCATAAAGGTTATCAGCCCCGGTCCTTCGAAGGGGTCTGCCACACTTGGGTGTGCCTCTCATGTGTGCCTGTGAAGGAGGTGTGTCCTGAGTGAAGGCTACTCAGTCTTCAGGGCCTGTCTGAGAGGGGAGCAATGTAGTTCTCGTGGAGAGGGGTTGTTTTCAGGGAATAAGCTTGGCTCCTCAGCCGCCTCTTTGGCATCTCTGCACGCACAGATCTCTCTCACCACTGTGAGGACCTCACCATAGCTGAGCTCACCCTCCTGCAGTGTGAGCTCAATAAGCCTCTTTTTAAATAACACTACCTAGTCTCAGCTGTTTAGTTATAAGTGGGAAACTAACCCATTCTTTTTTTCTTCCCTCGTGAGGCACACCTTCCTCTAGAATAATGATGCAAGTAGGAATAATAAAAAGCATTGGTTACTCACATGTCTGTGTGAGTTCATTCGTTCATTCACAATACTGCTTCCCCCCAGTTAATCAGCTAAAAGGGGAATTTTATCTTCAACCCCCCCCATACACACCTTCCTCCCTTTTTTCTTTTGAGACAAAGTCTGTGTATCTCTAACTGGGTTCAAACTTGCTATGTAGCCAACCGTGGCCTTAACTTCTGGAACCTCCTGCCTCTACCTCCCAATTATGTAAGCCACCAGATTGGTTTTATGTGCTGTTCAGGTTTGAACTCAGGACTCCGAGCATGCTAGGGAAGCGTCCTGGAAATGCTCCACATCCCTACATTCTTTCTATTTCTTAGACAGGCTCTCACCATTGTTGTCCAGGCTGATTCGTCTGCTCTCTCCGCCTTGGACTCTGACCTGCTTCCTTTTGTCTTTTCCTTTGTCAAGTTCTGGGGATAAGTGAACAGATGGGGACAAATGCTGCTTTAGGGATAAGTCCATATTCCACGGAGGCCAGGCCTGGGTGTGAGGCCACCATGGTCACTCTGAGGCAGCAAGTACCCCTGACAGACCCAGGATAGAGGACCAAGCTCCAGAAGGGGAAGTAGGAGGTCTAAAGATAGACTCTGCACCCAGCTGTACCAGAAAGAGGCACTAGGATGTGTTAAGAATCCCGAGATGTGCTGGGACCCGCCCTTTAATGTTTATTTTTAAGCTGGTCAGGCATCAGTACTTGCTTTTCCAGGCCAAGAAACACTGCTGTTAGTATTATCTGAATAGCTGACTTTTAAGGGAAACCTGAAAAGACTATAGTGCTAAAAACCTCTAACTTTTTTCTTCCTGTGACTTCTAACACATGTG